GTATTTGATCTTTTTTAAATATAATCTCATAACACCTTTAGCAAATATAGGAACCAAAATTAGAAAGCCTAGAGTTCCAAAAACTAAAAAAATTTTAATAGCTTATTTAGTAGCACTAAAATAAATTTCTAAATATATTTTTGAACGATTCCTCATGAGGTTTACTTGAAATATTAGTTTATTAAAACGTATCTTAGGATACAAGTAACTTTCTTTACATTTTATGTATTTTGTAGGGTATCTTTTACATGATGCTGGACAAGACGTTTGGATTCCTAACCTACGAGGTTCTACAGATTCGTTGCAGCATAAGAAATGGAAACCGTCAGAGAAGGAGTTTTGGGATTTCACGTGAGTGGATTAGTTGATGTTTAATATAGCTGCCATTTAAACCTGAATCTAAATAAAAAATAAAGTAATAGAGAATATGTATCATTTTTTTGCCCTAGGACGCTAGGCACAAGCCCGGGATTGTTTTTCACATTACTTCAGGCTGGACCTAGGGGTTGCGGCATTATCACTTGGATAAAATCCATTGGTGATATGGCGGGATTTGAACCCGAGACCAAAGTCTCGTGTGCTAACCACTAGACAAGCTCGCTCCCCCAATATTTATCATTGGAAATTTAGGGAATCGAATCGTCTTAGATTGTATTCTTGGGTCCAAGAATAATTATTGCTCTCTGGAAAATGTTTTTTTTAAAGGGTTAAGGAAATGTCCTTATACACCCGTAACTGTAAAAATATTAAATTTGGTCATAACAGAGAAAGATAGAAACTGTATGTGCCAGTTTTTCACCGTTTTAGCAAATTTTCCAATAGCTATTACCCTATTGAGTTATTCATGGCAAGACCCTTTTTTGTTTGTTAATAGAAGCCAAAAACACCACCGGTTAAAATTCATATGCAAAAATGTGTTGGGATGCACAATAACTTAAATAAAAATCATCTGATTTTGATGAAATTCGCACAAGTGTATAAACCTATGTATATTCAAACAAAATTGCTAACCAGTATATGATCAGACTTTTAGAATGGAATTTCATAGAGACGTTATGGGGATAAAAGTTTTTTTCCCATTTTGACCCCCAAAACATAACATTTTTAATTTTCTTTCCATACCGTTATGTAGAGGTTAAAAAAAAAAACAATTAAGTATATTGTTGTTCGCTTAACAATCACAGATAAAAAAATGCAAATTTAACTCTCTGAATTTGTTTAGTCTGCAGGTTTTTGTAGCAGGGTTATTTTAGATACTTAAATATATTATGATATTAGTATTGCAATTTTTTGTAGTTTATGAAATCCTGAGCATACTGACTTTCAACATGTTTGTGTCTAGATTCGAAGAATTGGGAACGGAGGACATATTCTCTCTGACTGATTATATACTGAAAATCACCGGGAACCAAAAGATCTCCTTTGTCTCAAATTCCATGGGAGGGACCTCTATCTTGGCTGGTTTATCTGTGAAACCTGAATACAGTAAGAAATACCACAAGCTGGTGATGTTTGGGTCACACTCCAACATGAAGTACACCTCTGGTAGTGTGCGGCTGCTGAGTTTGTTGAGGCCCCAGATGGAGGTAATTATACACTTTTTGTTAAGGAATTAAATAATCAAAGTCAAAATATAGTATATTTCATCTCTAGGCATAGATTGACTCTTTTTGAGACAAGCTGAAGTTTAACAATTAAGGTGAAGCTGAAGTTGGAAAATTGAGCCAGGGTTAAATGATATTTTTTGTTTATGAGCTTAATTTTTTTGTCATTGCACCACTATTTTAGCAAACTAAGTTACAAAACGACTTATCAGAATATTAACACATTTTAAAATCATCGCCTTGGTATACTTCGTTCACAAAATTTAGGAGGTTTGAGGGGAAGTTCCCACACTACTTTTTTGTATTTAATGTATTTTGCTTAATCAGCTGCTGAGCGTTATTTTAAAGGTAAGGGTCAAGTGCTGGAGGGGATAGGTTTCTTCCCCAAAACTACCTAAATATTCTGAACGAAGTATAATAAAAATCAAACTAACCAAACTTACAAATATTCACACATCATATCTATTCTACAGGTTGAAGATTATATTTGAATATCATCAAGTGAATATGAATAATTAATAATAATTTATACTTCATTTTGTTTGAGTTTAGCCTCTTACGATTTTGTTCCAGAGAATGTCTCGTGATCTAAAAATATTTCAAGTTCCTCCAAGCAATTTCGGAGGGTCGTTTGACTTTTTGTACAATATTTGTTTGAATCAGGACTACGCAACAAATATATGTATGGCTATTCACAATGTTTTCATTGGAAATGGAGCCTTGATCGACTTTGTACGTATTGGTAAACCTAGTTGATATTGTTGTAGAGTTTCAAAAGCTTGGTTTTTATTTTATTCAAAGCATTTAAAAGTTTTAAGGTGAATATCTCAAAATATTTCTCTCTTTTGTTGAAGCAGCAAACATCATTTCTCAAAATGATTTTAAATTTTTTTTATGTGAAAAAAAAAACTTATATCCACTTCTTAAACATTCATTACAAATTTGTCTACTAATATCATTGACTATTGGAAAGGTAATATGTTCATACATTTGTTTCTAGGCCTGATAGGACAAACTCAAAATGATTCTGATGCAATCAAAATATGCTGCTTATTATTTAAAAATGGAATTAAACTAGCAATGACAATATGTAATCATATTTTATTTTTTCCAGCCACTTTTCACGAAATATGTCAAATATTATCCTACTGCTATGTCTGTTAAATGTCTTCTGCACATTTTTCAAACTATGGGGACAGGTGAGTTTCATAGTGTTTCCTATCCAAGATTTCAGTTAGTATTAAAACCACGTCTCAACCAAATCATAAACAACCTATAATGTTTTTTGCTGTAAATGGAGCACAACACAGTATTTACTATTCATACAGAACAATTTAACTACCATCAATCAAAACAGTCTTTTCCTACCAGTTATCGTGTGTGTTTGGTGAAGCCTAGAATATGGAAATGAATGTATATATTTAGTTTTGATTGAACAAATTTTAATGCTTTATTTTTTGGTCAAGTTTTTTCCTAACTTAACCTTTACATAAATTTTAATTTTTACAGGAAAAATCTAAAACGATCAATATAAAGTTTTGTTTTGTTTTTAAAGAGGTTGGCGGCCTCTTTTAACCTTGCATTTGCCCGTCCAAATAGACTAAGCGCCTGTGCGTGGATCGTTTACAGCAAAGCAAGGAGTGAGCCGGTACAGTACAAAGGTGAACTGTACTGATAAAATGTTATCGGCAGTGACCAGGATCCGAACCCACGACATCGCTGCCTTGGGCCCGAAGTTCGCGACGCTACCGACTGAGCCACCGACTCACTAGTTTTAGTATAAAGCCTATAATTTATATCTATTTCATAGATAAAACTGAGTTATGATTTTTTTTAGCTCTATTTTTTCAATTTCAGATAAGTTTGCAAGATTTGATTACGGTAAACAAAAAAATTTTAAATTGTATGGCTCACCCTACCCTGAGACCTACAATTTGAGCAACGTTGAAGTTCCAGTCTTCTTAATTTATGCGAAAAAGGACAACCTAGTTCCCCCTCAGGTAACATCAATTTTAATCTAGTTTGTTTAGCATTTGTTTTAACATTTTTAAAGAACGTTATCATATTACGGTATTGATTTCACTACGAGACACAGAGTTAGAAGAAATAATACCAATGAACCACACCACAACTATATGAAATTAAACAGCTTTCAGCCTAGTATTGAACAATTAGTTGTACCTGAATAGTTATAGTGTTTGCCTAGTAAAGAAAAGGCCGCCAGTTCGATCCTGAGAAAGGTTAGTAGCTTTTTGATGGATCATGGTTTGAGACAGGACCCAGCTGTCCTTGACATTGGCTTTTAATAAACGGTCCTGACTAATGTAACAGTTGGTTCTAGTCGGTAAAATGTTACACTCATCCTTTTACATTTGGATCAAAATATGCAATTGGTAAATAGTTATAAATCAATCTAGTTAAATTTGAAAGTAAATGTGTCTTGGTCAACTAATAATTTCTCAACAACCCAAAACACAAATTCCCAGAACATGTAGTTGAAATTACTAGCTACTATTCGGTAGCGGTACTAAGAGTATATGGTAATGAAAGTAAACAATAATTGTTATAAAAATGTTTTATGACCTTAAAACACACTATTTTAAAGCTACCCAAGTGTTTTCTATACAAAGAATTTTTCACACGGAAATTCCTTATGGTTCTTAAGGTATCAAGTCATAAGTCTAAGAGTAATAGCAGTGATCCTGATCATCTTTAATGTCTATTAATTCTTTTACTTTTCAGGATATTCAATTACTTAAAAGTCAACTTCCAAACGTAGTTGAGACTTTGTACATCACACGTGATGATTTTGGACACTCAAGTTTCCTGTGGCATCCCAACATAACGGAGATTGCTTACAAAAGGATAGTCTCTTCAATATCCAAGTTATAACAGTTTTATTCACTCAGCGAGAATTTTAATATACATTAAATGCTATTCTAATTGTTTTGTAACTTTTCAATAATTTAAAGAAAAGGTACATCAAGTATTTAACTGGTTATGTTAACATTTCTTACTCTGCCGTAGCATTAAACATATTATAATATAGGTTGTGTAGCTTTTACCACCATCGAACAATATGCAATCTATCTTACATTACATTAATCCTGATTCTTTAAAATAATGGTACAGAGTAAGTTGCTACAAAAAAATTGTAAAAATAAACCACTTATTCAGACATTAAAAACCAAAAATTGAATTTACAATGCTGCTATTTGTAGAAAAAGTTGTTTTTGCTGAAATGTATTACATTGTGTAATACATCCTGTACATTGTGTTTACATCCTGTAAACATCAAACATAATTAAAATGCAACAGTCTATACATTTTTTTACCATTCCTGTTATTCCCTAGATGTGTAGGGAGTTTTGACAACATATAGTAATACATGCAAGCATTAAAGTAACAAAACATTTCATCTTGTGCCAGCAATCATGGAACTCATGAATAAGTAATTGTAATACTGGTAATGAGATCTTAGTTAAAACTAAAACATCATAAAAATCCAACTGAAAATTATCTCTATAAATTGTATTTTGTTGCTAAATAATTAAATGGCTTAATCAGCTCTAATGTAAAGTATTAGAGAACAAAATGTGCTTATGAGGCAAATGTAAGGAGTATTTACTTTTTGTAAGATTTACAACAAATGTTGCACCGGTTTCATTAGTATCACTTTCTTCCTCCTTGGTTACTTCCGCATCTGATCCAGCAATGAGGCGAAGAAAAGCATCTTCTAAACTTGTTGGTAACTGAAATTAAAATTAAAGGAAATAAAAAAATGAAATAATAATTCAATATTAATTATTTATGCCAAACAATTTGTTTACAACTGTTGTTATAAAAGAACGCTTGGTTTGTTTTCTCAACAAAGTTTACTAACGGTGGCATTGCAAATAACATTCATTTCTGTAGATTTAATTCCTGTAAACATCAAACATAATTAAAATGCAACAGTCTATACATTTTTTTACCATTCCTGTTATTCCCTAGATGTGTAGGGAGTTTTGACAACATCCAAACCATTGGGTTTCGTTCCCTTTTAATGGAAAGATTCCCTTTAAAATTTTGTGGATTTATATTTTGCATAAAATGTGATGGTTTTAGTTGACTGAATTGCCAAGTAAATATAGACAAACAAATGAGAAGAATGTTTATTTGGTTGTTTAATAGGTTTAAAAAAAAAAATGAAAATATCGCTAATTGATTTTTGAAATACAAGTTTTCTCCTATTCATTTACTGAGCACTAAAATTCATTTGAAGTACAAAGTTTACCATGATTTTAGAAATCAAAGTAATTTCAGAATAAACTGAGAACTTAAGTTATTCCTTACCTCACTAAACTTAGCGCTGAGTTTCATCACTCTTTCTTGGTGGCTTCTCTTCATTTCTGTCTGCATGCAGCTCAACAGTTGAGGTTTCATTTCTTTATCGCACCACTCCTGATTGTCAGCGTAACTGTTTGATTTCGCCATTCCACAAGTGCTGACCTTCCCTTTAAACTGTTCTTTGAGTTTGGCCTCGAACCCAGCCGCCAGTTTCCGCTTACATTGTCCCATCAGCTGTTCCTTGTCGTAGGAGCCTTCACTCGATCCATCGAGCGATAAAGAGATTTCCATAATGTTGGGTGCACATCGCTCCTCGGATATGGAATTTCCGATCATTATAGTTACATTGTTTATCTGTTGAAGAGACTTGATGCAAACCTGAATTGTAGAAAATAATTGTAGTAATGATTATATAAAATAATATCTAAGAAATACAAGGTTTATTTAATGCTTACACAATATATTCTATCAGTAAAATTCTAAAGTAAAGTTGGAAGTCAAAGTCTTACTGGTCTGTTTAAACCTGCTTACAAGAAATTAGGTAATCATAAACTAACATGTTTTACAGGTGCACTTTAAAAAAAGTTGATTTGCAATACCACACAATTTTCCTGAAGTCAACTTAAGTTGAGAATATTTGTGGATTGAAAATTATAGTAAAAATCTTTCTAAAAGTAAAAAGAAAAATATATTTTTAATTCATAGCATAACTTTACAACATTCAAAAAAATTGTATTTTTGTAAGACAGTTGTTTTGGTTGCTATACATGATGATCCAAGTGTATTCCCATATGTACTAGACATAGATGTGAGTAACATAGTTAACTTACAGAATATTCCTGACTTGGAGTGTAAACTGTAGAATAGCCACAGCTTCCACTAATTGGCAGACCAAGCAAATATTTTTGGAGGAATAATCCAGCAGTTAATAACGTTCCTAAGGTGCTGTTGACAAAAGAAAGTAATGAACACAGTTGTATATGAAACCTGGAGGGGAAAGCAACCTTCTTTAATACAATAGACAGGTCAATTGTTGTACAAGAAACTCTTAACTGAAATATAACCTCTAGACTACGAAATTGATTTTTTTTTTAAATTTACAATACCTGTCAGCAGTTTTGGAAAGTAAGCATCAGTGTTACATGTTGGGACAAGAAAAAATATATAATTTTGCTGGATTGATTTATTTGGGAAAGGCATTTTGCTGAAAAATAAACACCTTGTTTGTTACCATTGGAACTGCTGATAGGTTCTGTACTTTCATATTTAAGTTGTCTCCTAACACCATTGACTTCGGGTTAATATACAGACTGTTTTTCTACAGGTCTAAGTTTAGATTCAAGCCATTTTAAACTTACTTTAGTAGATTTGGAGCCTCAAAACCTGGAGTAGAGCTTAACAAGTTGGTGCTTCCATCATCTTCACAGTCAAATATCTTACTGTGTAAACTATAGCAAAGATTGTCTAGTTTATTTTCAACCTGAAGCAAATAAAGACTGAAATATTACATGTGAAAACCCTGGTAAACACATAGTTAATTGCAAATGCTATTTATTTTTTAAACACATTATATTCTACATGTAATATGAGAGACAATAGCTGAGACAGTTTCTGACACTCCATCTTGAAGGTGTTAGCATTAGCACATAATCATAGCTTTAGATACATATCCGCAATCTCCTGAATAAATATTCAGAAGTTGATTGACAGGATATTGAGCAATAATAATTTGTACACGCTTCAATATTTTGAAAGTTGTGCAATATATTTTCTAAATTTTAAAATGTAGTTTTTACGCTTTCAATCCAGAACATACGTTTAACACTGTAGAGTATTGTGCAATAATATGGTGTATGTGACTCATAAACCTTATTTAGCACCCATAAAAAACTGTTTTCCACAAATTGTAAGGTTTCAAAATCAAACACAAACTGATTGCAACATCAACTTATGGTTTTCACATTATTTAAATAGCTGACTGGTCATATGTGGACTTGCTTATGTTTTAGTATTCAAGATCTCAACTGAATGATAAATAAACTCACAGTCTGTGATTTTTTGCCCTTCACTGAAGAGAGAGGTTTGCAGTTGTTACATGACACAGATAATGCATCATAGTTCTCACTGTTGGTCACAGTGAATATGTCAGTTTGTGTGTGCCATTTGAACCCAACGTGGTTATTCTCTGTAAAAAACAAATAAGAAGGTGATTGCAACTAAACAAAGTAAAAGTTAATAATTGATGAAAATTGTGAATTATTTCAATCCAAGAGAGTTAAATTCAAGTCATCGTAACATAGCCTTCAAGCTATTTCATAACTTAAGTCTGTTTGAACTGTTAGAGTGTTCGACATGTAATTTTGTTTATCTTAGGAGTTCAAAATGGCGATCAAGTCTCAACAATATGTTTCAGAGAATTATAAACAGTATTTAACTATCAGACTGTATTATGGTTCCATGTACTCCATAGCTTAGTACATACTAATAATATTTAACTATAGGTTTACCTTTATCCAAAGCTGGCTTCAATGTCACATAAATGTGATCGCTAAGTTTAATTTCTAAATGAAGAGGCAAATTAAAACGGCTGCTGTGAGAGTTTATGATGCCCTGCCAAATGTCTACCATTGTGTTCTTAATTTTCAAAACAGCTGAACCTTGGGACCAGTACCTGAAAATTACATCCAACGTAATAGAGAGAGAAGTATAAAAAATATCCAACTGCAAAATATTAAATACAACAAATTTAAATTGTCTTTGATAAAATATAAGGCATAGGAAATTCAGTACTCTATTATGTTCTTAATTTAAACTATTTTGTAATCTCTGCTAAGCCAAGAGTAGTTCATTTGCTGTTGACTTGAAGGATCAGCTTTGCAAGGATTTATGAGCACTTTATCATCCACGGGAGGATCAACAAAAAGTTTTGCCTTGAGTAAATTATATCCATAACGCTGTTTGACGCGGTAACATTTCTTGATGAAATTGTAATAAAGGAATTGTCTATTGTCTATAACAGATGATTTTGTTGGAACTGAGCTCATGAACATTTTACTCAATAGTTATGTCCAGACTCGTGCGCTTTCAATTTCAACGTGCATTTCAACATTTGATCCAATATTCAATTCATCATCTATCAACGCATGCGTTATTATTGCATGCGCTTTGTGACGTTTCTTTCAGCTGTCCACACTCATACCTCACTTTTTTTAGATGCCTTTATCTAGACTGGGACGGGTGGCGTCGTCCTGTAATCCAGCTACTAGGAGGTCACGAATTGTGGATATTTATAGGGATGCACTGTGGATGCGATGCTCACTGGTGTGGATTAACGTCCGCACTAGTGAGTACTACGACTATCCGCAGTACTATCCTGATAATTAGACCAATTCGTAAATTACAAGGAAAAATGTGGTTCGGATTCCACTATAAACTGTAGGTCCCTTAGTTGCCATTAGCTGTATGGGCTATTAATTAACAGCTGTGTCTAAGGAACATGTCGGCCTTAGTCACTAACAAGACTACAAGATCGCGCCACTCATCCTACACTCATCCTTCACTCATATTTGGGTTAAAATACGCACATAGTGGCGTCCCCATCTTAAATAATTGATAATTGATAATTGAATAATAGATGACGAAAAGAACACTTTTCTGTTGGGAGGTATTAGTTACAGCATATTTAGTGTTAAGAAAGCATCCATCTGCGTCAATGCATGCGCTTAGCACACACAAAAATGCACTAGATATTTAGCTATTTAAACATAGCTATTTAGGTATATTAGATTATAAATTTAAAATAACTTACCATCCCTACAGCTAAATAAATATAAGTGGAGGTCTTGCAGTGCTCATTTCATAAAACTGGATGAAATTCTGAATAATATTGACAAGAACACAATAAAAGCTAAAGTAAATTTTAGGATTGACTATTGTTCCACAAACAATATTTACCGTAAATCAAAAGTCACATCTTGAGTGGAGGCACTTGATGATTTTTCAGCTTTGAAACTGAAAATATTTGGATAATCCAAGGATACAACTCCAGGAAATCCAATATCAGTGACAAAAAATGTTTCCTTGTTAAAGAAACTGGATGCATGCAAGACTGAGAGGTTTAAGATGTTCTGTGATTGGAATGTATTGATCAAGTCTGAAATGGAAAAAAAATACATTAAATCATTTCATTGAATTAGAGAAACTCTTTTGGTTAAAAAATTAGCACTAAATTTGAACAAAGAATGTGTTCAAAGTGGTATAAGATGTATATAGTATTTTAAGTTATATTCTAGATCTGAAATATTTTAAATATTATTTTCCTGTACTTCTAGTCACGAATATTAGTGCAGAAACAGTATGGATCATAAACATAAACAAATTATGTCACTGGTCTGAAAGTAACATTACATAAAGAACTGACCAAACCAAATAATGTTAATGTCATTAGTGTAGGTTACGACATGTAATGTCTATGTTTATGAAACATATCTCATAGCCTCCTCTAATACAAGGCTGCAGGAAGACATAAGTGGCAACACCACAGACTCAGAATACTGAAACAGCTGTTGCACTCATTTATAATGGAGCTCGCACAATGTTTAGTGCAAAAACTATGAGGAGTTTATCAACACACTTAAAAATTTGTTGTTGGTTTGTTTTATGTCTTGGTGGCTTAGTAGTTTTTTCGCTCGGTTTCATTCAGTTAACAAGCTTACAGGTGTTTTGTATGAGACATAGTGACATTTCTTTTCAAGACATTTGTCTTTTACTTGCAATTGCAACACAAAGTTATTACAACATAAAGTTAATACAAATCTTAAAAGCATATTACAAATGGGCATTTACCTTTAAGTAAGCCATCGATGTTGTCTTTATCATAGTTCCTCAAGCTGACCACTTGTTGTTGATATAACAATATAAGCTCAAGTTGAAAGTTTTCAGGAATCAGATCATGTTGAATCAGTTTCACCAGAATATCTGCTGCTTTTGAAGGATGAACAATTGTTTGTAAAATATCGTTCAGCATTTCTATTTTGACTCCTTTTAATTTAATGTAAATCTGTAACAAATCAGATCCATACAAATACTTCAGATTGTAAAATAAATCATTTATATAATTTTAAGAAACTGGTCGAGTTTCCTTAAGGATACAATAAACTTTCAACAATTTTAACACTCTTTGATTAAAACACATTGCCTTTATACACAAGGACAAGAAACATAATATTATTGTTTTAAACATGGGTCTGTTCAACATACCCAAAATTAATCATAATTAATTTTATTAATTTTAATTGAAATATTAATTGACACGCCAATGACAAATCATCATTGACAAATTATACATCAGTGTAAAAATATTTTTGTTTGTTAATAAATTTAAAGAGGAAAAAAGGGCCTAAGTAATAAAGTAATTAATCTTAAAACTTACTGAATAATAAGTGATAGGATTCTCATCACAATTAGATGAGTAAGTAATGTAAGCAGAACTTCCATATTCTGGTACTGAACCAACAACTGACAACACTCGCAACTTCCCATCAGCAACAGAAAACTCATAAAAGGAGGAAGCAATCTCGGATATAACAGGTTTCTTCATTGTTCTCATAATCTGTTGAGCAATATGTTTCCTGAAACAAGATATAATACATTACTTTGAATTTCAAAAGCATTTAAACATAAAGGTATTTAAAGTTTTATACCCAAGTTTAGGTGTTAATTCTTTTCAAAGTATGTACAAATTGCTGAATAAATATTGCTTTATCCCCCTTGCTGCAGACCCAGTGAATTTATATTTGTGTGATTGGATTTTACTAAAATATTTCCACAAACAATGGGAGTTTTTGGCCACTGGGGACATCAAAATGAAAAAGTAAATCAGGCCCGGGTCTAGGTCTTTCTATGCAACCTTCGGTAATAGTTTCTTTCCTATAAAAGTGTAATTTAAAGTAAAACAAAATACTGACCTAGTTGAATGGCAGTGCTGCTTGTCTTCTGAGTAGCTTTTGATCAGTTTGTAGTAAATGTTATGCAAGTGAGAGTTGCACTCATCAACTGTCATAGTCTGATGAAGCTGAGTAAAAACTGACAATTCTTGCTGAGCCTCCATCAACAAAGTCAAGGCCGTTGCCCTTAGTTCCAGAGTGTTATCAGGGTTTATAATAACAGGCCAGTATATCTTGTAAGCCTGCAGAAAAACCGTTGTGTTATTGCTATCTGAGAAATAAGGATTAGAGTTAATAGTTTTACTTGTGAACACACCACCATAAGGGTGCATATTTTGTAGAACATGAGCAAACAATGACTGTTGTTGAATGGATGAGATGGCAGCTTTGTTACTGACCAAGACCAACTGTTTCTTTAGTCAGGACCATTTATTTTAACCCCAATGATCAAGGACAGCTGGGACCAGTTTCAAACAACCAAAAAGCTAATGACTTTTCTCAGGATCGAACTGGCAACCTTTTGATTACCTGCCGAGCCAGCTATAAAGTAATAGCTATATAGCTGAGATGTTTACAGGTGACAGTAAACTATGGAACATTGTTTTTATTTTAAGTATTTTGATTCAAAGTACTATGTATCTATGGTCATAAATATTACCATTGACTATATATAGTCAATGATATTACCTAATACCTATGGATCTTGGGTCTTTCTTAACAGTCATTGAGAAAATTGATCCCGGGCCATGGTGATTTTATATCTGGACACAAATATGCCCAATCTATTTGCTCAAATACTAAAGAATTTAATTGGACGTACAAAGAATCTGTCTTTAAGCTTAAAACTTATATTACTCACTCTGACTGAAAAGGCAATTGAAATCAAATTGGTTTCAAAATCAGTAAACACATTCTACATCCTTCAGACTTACTTGATCAGTACCTCCAGTAACCACTGGGAACACACAGCTCACAATCCAAACCCTGCCGTTCTTACTACACACTGGGTCTTCTCCTGATACCGGAGGTCCCACAAACTCAATCAGATTCTCCATCCTGCGGACTTACTTTATCAGGATCTGCAGCAACCAATCAGATTCTTTATCCTGTGGACTTACCTTATCAGGATTTGCAGCAACCACTGGGAACACAGCTCGCAATCCAAACACTTTGACAGTCTCACTGGACACTGGGTCTTCTCCAGAGATCAGAGGCTCCACAATCCCTACGAGATTCTCCAAGTGTAGATTGCTCAGGCCAGCCAGATAAACTAACTGGTTTAGGTATTCCTTGCTGTTTTCTGAAGAAAAATAATGCCACATTTAGTAGCTGTTTGTTTAAGTTTAGAAACAAAATGTTAGCTTTTGGAGTAAAATAGAACTTGGTTTAGGAGAAATAATTGATGACCTACACAACTACTTTATCCAATAAAAAATTTCCAGGTAGTTAACAGCTCATAAAAAATAACCACAACTCAATTTCTTAACAACAATATATGAAAGGGCATATAAAATAATTTGTTATGAAAACTGTTTGTGTGCTGATAACTGCCTGTAACTCTGTTCCTGTTCTTGTTCATGGTGGAATTTTTCAGAGGAGAAGAGAGATGTTAAGTCAAAAGCTTTTTGGGAAAACTGTCCAAACCCATATGATTGTTCTTGGGTTGGTTAGTTGTGTAAAGATTATGTTAACATTTCCTCTATAGAGTTGGTGAAAACTGAAAAACATTTATTCGTTTGATACTCATCAAGTGTATTTGTACAAAACTAGAGGAACTAGAGGATGCTGCTCCGCAGCGTTAAAATAATTATTATATCCGAGAAATAATCAAATTTATAATACGGTATCTTGAGCTTAACTGATTCAAACACTCAATAGCTCAATTTAAATCCTATAATTTACTGATTATTTTGTGTCTAAAACATATAGAAAAACGGGAACAATACTGGAGCTATTGATTTTTAACCATATTAAAACATAATGAAAAATAATTTTTATATTGGTTATTCACCTTGCATTTGCTTAAAACTCGTCGGATTTGAATAACTTAAATGAAAGCCAGTATTTAACTGAAGGTTCTTAGACTAAAATATATGGGATTATAAATCTATAACTGGTAAAGGTACATCTTAATTTGAAGTAAGAAATATAAAATAAATCAAATTATGTGTTCTGGTCGTGTAATACTGTAGGTAAATATTTGTAGATGATTGATGGCAAATTTGTGCGTGCATACCTTCAATTCGAGACCTCAAGCATGAAAATCGGTCGGGTAGAAGAGCGAAACGAACTCGGCAAAGAAAAACCAAATTTAACTTCCATAAGAAATACATGGGGAGCAAATTTTCATTTGCGTATACACCGAGTGGGATTATAGATAAATATATGTAGATTCTTGATGGCAAATCTGTGCGTGCATTCCTTTGATTTGAGACCTCAATCATGAAAATCGGTTGGGTAGAAGAGCCCAACGAACTCGGCAAAGAAAAGCCAAATTTAACTCCCATAAGAAATACATGGGGAGCAAATTTCGTTTACGTATAAACTGAGTGGGATTATAGATAAATATATGCCGATGCTTGATGGCTAATCTGTGCGTGCATACCTTCAATTTCAGACCTCAATCATGAAAATCGGTCGGGTAGAAGAGCCCAACGAACTCGGCAAAGAAAAGCCAAATTTAACTCCCATAAGAAATACATGTGGAGCAAATTTCGTTTACGTATAAGCCTAGTGGTATTATAGATAAATATATGCCGATGCTTGATGGCAAATCTGTGCGTTCATACCTTCGATTTGAGACCTCAATCATGAAAATCGGTCGGGTAGAAGAGCCAAACCAACTCGGAAAAGAAAAACCAAATTTTTTTAATATATAAGATATACAAAAGATTATACACAACACATGTTTGTGCAATATTGTTTTCTTGTCTTTATTTTTGTCAATATTATTTATTGTATGGTTGAAAATCTTATAGGTAAGACTACTGCTAGCATACATCTATTAATTCATTACCCTTTTTTCTTGCAATAAGCTTTCTGCATTTCTAACGCAGCAACACAGCACTTATTTGTTATAATTGTACAAATCAATCATTGTATTTTCTTTGATTCCAAATTTTCCAAATATATTTTCTTAAAAGTAAAAAAGTTATTATTGCTTATGATTAAATAAGTTTTTATACCATTGTGAGATTGTGCAAATATTGTTTACCTATAAACTGAAGAGTGTATTTGTTTATGGTCTTCGGATTGCATCTTCCACTCTTGCATGTTTCGTAAATTAGAGTTGCAAAACTTAAAATTGCTGCATTCCTCACATCGGTTTTTGTGTGTCCAGGAAGATTTAAGAGTCCCTAAAATGTTTGAAATTTGATTAAAAAATCCCTAAAAAAGGTTAAAAATTTCTATTTGCTTTTAGATAACTATCAAAAAGGAACTTATAGGACAAAAATATTACTCTTTTATTTTACTTAGTTGTCATGAAATTTAGTTCCAGACGTGTCTTGCTTTATAATTTTACCAGAGAATATTCGTGATTGAATCTGTTACATACCTCAAACTTCGACAGGTGTTCCTCGGACAGTTGCCGAAGGTGAAATGGCAACGATGAAATTAGAAGTTCAGCCTCGTAATCATTCACTTTATATTCTTTCGCTAAATTTATAAGAAACAAAGCTGAATCCTGGCTTCCAACCAAGGGTAGTATTTTGATCAACATGTCACTAAAAAGAAATATATTGTATAAGAAATAAAGATTGGAAGTTTAAAGAAAGGTACATTTTTGTTGCTAACTAAGATCCAGCTGATTCATCGGTCAGGATAATTTTAAAGCTCAATGATCAGGAAAAGCTGAACCCAGTTTTGAACTATCAAAAAGCTAATGACTATTCTCAGGACCTAACCGGCGACATTTTGATTGTTGGACAAGCACTTTAACCACTCAGCTACCCAGCCTGCCACAGGTTGTTAAACTACCTCTTTCTATACACAAAACTATAACATTTAATTGACAGTCGCTTTTTGAGCTTGAAAGAAAGACATATATATGTCCAATAATATGTCCAGGAAGTTCTACCTGAACTGTTTAAATTTTTACACAGAGTGATAATATTTTGTATTTATTATGCCAGAATGAACGTATTCCCATTCAAGAAAGCCTACTTCCTCAACAAAGGTACATAAATCTGGTTTTTAACAAGTCAGCATATAGCTAAAATTCAAATAAAAACTAATTAGATTTAAATTTAAGACAACATACATGGATGTAATGTCATTATTTTTCTCCAACTCGTCGTACAGTTGCTGTAGCAAGCCAATATCCAGTTTACGCAAGTACGTGATCACCAGCGGGACCAGATGTGGTTCCTGAGCTCCAACTTGTTCTGACAGTAAAGAGTTTATTCCCTCCAATTGTGAGCGAACTGTGGGAAGTAGGTGCTGTACCTGTAAAAAGTACTCCAGCAAGTGAAAATTATAGCAAATATTTTATAGTCTCCTGTATTTACATGATATTACATGCATTCATATTAATTATCCTGGAATGGCCTCTCTGGAACATTGAATATGCAGAAAGGTTTGACTAACTTATGTCTAGAATTCTCAAAAGTGACGTGAATAAACTATTAGGGTTTTATTTCATATCAAAACTATATTTTTCAAGTTCACTGACATTAGAAAACTCTAGTACTGTTGAGAGGAGATGTCCTATAGTGGCTTGGAACAAAATATCCAAGTACTTTTTTTACCAATTACACAGGGGTGCGCCACAATTCCATTTTTATTTTTCACTCAGCAATACAATTACTAGACTACAGTATACAATAAATTTGGTCATGGACACTAGGTGAAAAATTCTGAAGTAGGTCAAGCCATAACTTTAAAATGAGACCAACATCACTAAAAACATCTCATCATTTTGCACAATGCAAAATATTTAATCTTTTTATTAAAATAAGTCGTTGAGTTGAAAGATAATAATTTTTAAATTCAGAAAAAGAACTCGAGGAGAAATTTAGTACCAATATCTATCAGTGAATCACTATTACAAGCCCATAAATACGATAAATAAAACTGGTATTACGATAAACCAACAGGTATTTAAAATGATAAAACTGTACATTTCTTACCTTTTTCACAACCTTATTTAAATCTTCATTGGTGGAAAATTTAAAAGAATCAAACTGTCCAGATTTAAATTCTAGACTGTGTATTTCCTCGGGGTTAGGAATATCGACAACTCTGGTGATACCATTCATTGATACAAGTTGCAACTTCTGGCTGAAAAAAAATTTTAACTTTTTACTGAGCTTTTAATGAAAAAGTAAAGATCATATGACAAAAACTTCTTTGGAAAAGCCATGAAAATTAAGTGTGAATGAAAGTAGAGAAGAAATTGATATGCAATCACTTCAGGGTAGTCATGACGTAAGGACAGTCACTGTAGTATATTCAGTTCACTAACTCTTTACAGCACAATTTCTTTTATCAAAACGTTAAAAAAAATATTGAAAGCCACAAGTTAATCTTACCTAACAGTAATGTAATGAGAAGAATTTGAGTTTCCTCTCAGGAATCTGTGGGTTTTGCCTTCTGTGAATACTTCTCTTATGAGTAGAGTATCTTCACCATAGGGAGTCACCCTGTAAGTCTTTTGGCTAGTAGACTCCAAATTATTAGTCTGAAAGAAAAAAAAATAAAGAAAAACGGTTTACCTGTTTTACAAACAAATTGTTTTTAAAGAACAATATTGGGTAATGAAAAGGTGAAGTTATTCTATTTTTCTAGACTTCCCCCTAAGTATCACCATTGCATTTAGTTTCAAAGATGACCTCTTTATGGCACATAAATGTTGCTGGTTTAGCTAAGAGAGAACATGGTCCAGTAAGCATCTAAAAAGAGTCATTATCTCACTCATGTTCCATATACAGTCCTGGCTTCGTAAGGAGAGAAAGGGTCCAAGTAGACCAGGTCAGGCCTAATCCGCTGTTGTCAAAACATAGCTATTGTTGTGAAGCCGAGGAGGCGCGCTACCCAAACCAGCGGTCATTGCCACTGCCTCTCTTATATTCTTAGAAATAAATCGGTCCAGTACAAATTCTATAAGATCGACTAACCAACCAACAGAGCGTCGGTGAATTGTGATTCAAGTTTTGTGATATTCGTCTTCACTTTGGGAATAAAATTATCTGCCATTAAATTATAGGCATCATCCGTTCGATCTATAGAATTTTTACTGGGCAACTTATTTCTACGACTTAAACGGAGGCAGTGGCAATGACCGCTGGGACGGGATAGCGCGCCCCCTCGGCTTCACAACAATAGCTATGTTATGACAACGGTGGATTAGGCCTGACCTGATCTATCTGGACCTTTTCTCTCCTTACGTGGCCGGGACTGTAATACAAGCTACATCAATTATATTTGTTTTACCACTTACCAGAGGATTAAAATTCAAACATCCAGGTTCAGTTTCCACATTAGACCACTCCGCAGTGTCTCCAAGGCAGTCTCTTGTGTTGTAAAACTTTGTGATGTGAAGCTTGTTTTTGTGCGGTTTTACTGAATTCAACACTGCACAGAGTCCGTGTATACTTTGCTGTAATCAAGAGATATTTATTTTTGCAGATCTGGAAGTGTTGACTGTTATTTTATTTATTTTTTGTAAGAGGTTGGCGGCCTCTTTTAAGCTTGCATTTGCCCGTCCACATAGACTATTTGCCTATCCATGGAACGTATCCAACAAAGCAGGGGGTGAGCCGATACAGAACAAAGGTGAACTATACTGATAAAATGTTTGTGGCAGTGACCAGGATCCGAACCCACGACATCGCTGCCAAGTTCGTGACACTACCGACTGAGCCACCGACTCATCTAAACAAAACATATAACTACAGTAGACACCCGCTTATCCGGACACCTTTTAGCCGGACTGCATTCGACCAAAGTGATATCGCTTTAAACGGTAAATCTTTATCAGAACAACGGTTCAACCAGACTGGATCGGTAGTAAATGAGAGAGGTACTGAAACGTCTCTTCTCATGGGAAAGATTTCAGATCAGTGATCACTACTGAAACCACAATGCTACTAGACTATCATAGCTCACTGATGAAAAATATATTTAGTGAAGATCATTGTACTTACTTCAGTTGACAAAAAAGCAGAATATTCCTCAATGTTGATTTTTGGTAGATCAAACTGCAGAATACCACTAACAGCTTGCTTTATACTTCTTGACCACATTGGCGTTTCCGATGACATTTCTAATTTGGAAACCTTGAACAGTAGATATACTGAGTGTAATAGGCACATGAACAAAAATATTTGAGTCAATTGTGACTATCGACTTTGAATAATCCTTAGATAATTCTCTGTAAACATTTCCAAAAATACACGTTTTTAATTGTTCTGAGTAAAGATATGTTGAATAGACAAACTATATCCATGCAACCCTCAACTGAGCATATTATGTTATTTGAATAAATCTCTGATTTTAGTAATAAATCGTTGTACTAATCACCATTGTGTTAACCAATAACATGATCAATTTGAAAGCTTCATATGAAATTATAAAATTATGATCATCCACCATTGTCATTCCAATTAATTCATACATTGGACTATTTGGTTGAATAATTATTGGTTAATTTGAATTCGGAAATAATTGTTAAGAAATATTTCAAATTACATTTTGACAATTGTACTTAGCGCCCTCCCCACTTCTGATTGTTATTAGAGTTAAATAGTGATTAAATACAGTGCTCGATTTGCGGCGGAACGTGCCTTACAGCGTTCCAGTAAGTACATCTCTTTTGGAAAGAAAAAGAAAATTCATAAAAATAGGCTCATGGCTTTGAACACAAAGGAGTGTATTTAACCTTTCTCTCACTTAAGTATCCAAAGTACAAAGTTTTAAGGCAAATTAGTTGTGAGGTGTCAAAATCTAATGAAGAGAGAGATTTGTATTTGTGCCAATAGCCAAAGTGTAAAGTGTGCTGTATACTTCCAATAATCTGAAAGGCAATCAAATGTTACATACAGCTTATTCCATAAAATCACAGTTTAGTATTCTTACTGTAGTTTAAGTTGTTTACAATAATGATCATGTATTAGCCTGGTTATATTTTATAGCCAAACACCATTAATTCTTACCTGACCATCTTTGTAATATATATCAAATGGTTGATACAATGTCGCTGCATTGTCTGGTAGTTTGGATATTTTCAACTTCTTTTCAGCTGCTAAATCACCACTATACGAAACAAACTTCAAGTTGACAAACTGGAACAAATTATAATAAGAGATTTAGCAATTAATTATAGAAGTTTAGAAATATGCATTGTTATTTCAACAGAGCAATAAGAGATGCACCAAGTATAAAATATTATACTACGGATGTTTTGATAAAATCTTCTTAAACCACGAACACACACATCTAACGCTGTGAAAACTCCTCACGTAAATTTAAAAATACAAAATTCAAAAATAAAATGTACATTGTCGATTAGATTACGGCTTGATATTTACATCAACTACATCAGTTGGACTCTAAAAACTTGCTAGACTTTAATAAACTCAAAGCAGCTAAAAAATTTGATTATAATAATGGGTCTTGTCTTATTAGACTTTTTCAAATCTATTTACAAACCCTAAGATTAAAGTCTTTGGAATAGATAAAGATCAATTTATTTTATCACTAGGGCCTAAAAAAAACTCTTTTTGACACAAAGTTTAAGAAAAAGGCGAAGCCAAAATTGAGCAAGAGTCTAAAAGACACTTCCTGACAAGTGTGATGAACAACATTTGTTGTCATACTGCGCCATTAACTAAATCCAACAAAACCTTACACTACCTGTACTCTGGCTCTATTCTTGAATCCCTGCACTTTAATATTTCCAGTCAAATTGAACTGAGACACAAACGGTGCCGGAGACTTAGTTCCAGTTGTAACCACTGCAGAGTAGCTGTACAGAACTTCTTGCCCCTCGGGGTAAAGTCCTGTAAATAAATAAAATTTTTTCAACCAATATGTATATCAAGCAAGTGTATTCTTGTCATTTTGAACAAGTCCACAGTAAATTTGTTCTTTTAAGTTGGTATTGTTTGTAATTTGGTCAGGGCCGGTTTAACCCATACGCGAACTACGCGGCCGCATATGGCGCCACGAAAAAGTGGCGCCGTGGCGCCAACGTAACAATTTTTTTTACGTGAACAACATAATTTTGTTTATTTTCGCTCAGAGTTCAAGTACACCACAATAAAGGCATTTATTCTGTTTGTACCAACAGCACTTGAAAAATGTGTATATTTGTACAGCACTACAACTCCAGGACACAATGCCATTTGCAGTTTCGATTTTGTAGTGAGCTGACGCTCGGCAGCGTACGGCGCGGCGCCTGTGGGTTTCATTTCACGACTCACTCATTGCTCGAGATGAGATAAGCAAGCGCCAATTGTCACAACAAGAAACTTCCCCCTCCCTTCCCTCCCTTCTGATTCTTATCCTAGAGCAGAGCACTACGTTGTATTGCTCTCTTTTAGTGTATTAGCGTATTAGCGTGTATCGGTATCGTAATGGCGTTGTTTTGATGATTCATGATTGTTGATAAGTGAATGAATACGAGTGTTTTAAGTTTAATTTATAATTAGCGCATTAAATAAGAAGAAAGTATAAACTGAATAAATGAGTAAAACATCTAGCGAACCGATACTAAAAAAACAATGGCAGAAAAAAAGAAAACGTCTGGCACTTATTATAAAAAGGGTAAGGCGAATTTGGAAGAGGCTGATAAAAAACAAGCCAAATCAATGAGTAGATTTTTGTTTAAATCATCTGGTGGCGAGTCCAGTCAGCCCAAAGAAATCACGATAGAAGACGGCAATGACGTAGGTATTTATTTATTTATTTTCCAAGGAAAGATTAAAACAAGCAGCTGATCACAAACGGTAAACATTACGTCATTGCCGTTTTCTATCGTGACGTCATGCTTGACGAGCATTACGGATTACGGCCTGTTTTTAGCGAATTTCCCATATAGGGAATAAGCTATTACCGTAGTACTCATGGTAAGACCTGGACCCGAGACCGATCTAATTTTTCATTTTGAGGTCCCTAGAGGCCAAAAACACCATCCGTTCAAATTCATATATATATATATATATATATTTACTAGCTGTAACCCGCGGGCTTTGCCCCGTTTAACCTCTTAGTTTTCAAGTTTATCTCGTTCGCATTGCTCAATAACGTCCTGGTTGAAGTTTGTTCGCTACGCTCACTCACCTTTAGGTTGGAGCTCGTTCGCTGCGCTCACTTGCCTTCAGTTAGCTCGTTCGTTACACTAACTCGCCTCCAGGTTGAAGTTCGTTCGCTACGCTCACTCACCTTTTGGTTGCAAATTAGCTGATGTCATAAATGTAAAAGAAATAATAGTGCTGCACCCTGTTGGTAAACCTTGTAACTCTAATGCTATTGAACATCATAGAACAAAACCAACTTGTTTAATTGAAACAGCTGTTAAGATTCAATAATTCCATTTCTCATAAGGTTAACATGGGAAACTCCAGAGCCACTGGGGCGGAGCCCGAAAGGATTTTTGAAATAAGAATATGCCTATATGTTAATCGGGAATGTGAGCTATCATCATGCCAAATTTCAGCCCAATCCGACCAGTATTTTTCGCGTTCACTTGTCACAAACATACATCCATACATCCATACATCCATCCATAAATCCATACATCCAAACTTTCTCATTTATAATATTAGTAGGATATATATATGTGTGTGTCCGTTAGCGCGATAACTCGAGCAAAAATTATCCGATTTTGATGAATTGGTACAAACGTGTAAACCTACGTTTATTCGAACGAGTTCGCGATCCAGCATAATCGGACCATGGGAACGGGGGATTATGGGGGGTTTTATGGGGTAAAAATGGGTTTTCCCATTTTTGAACCTAAAAACAAAAAATTTTGCGATTTCTTTCTAAAATGTTTTGTAGAGCTTAAAAAAAGAAGTAATTTAGTATATTGAAGCGCTGTTGTATGCCTAACGGTCACGGAGAAAATTCAAAAATAGTGTAATTAAAAATTCCCATGTTATTCTTATGGAGAAAATGAAAATTGTTGTAGTTTACTTGTTTATGGGTATATATTGATAAAATTTGGCAAATTTATTTATTTCATCCTATACTATTGATGTATGGTCAAAAAACACTTTTTACCTGCCCCGTAGCAGCAAACCTAAGCACTTGTTAAATCTAATGTTATTTAAATAGGGAATAATATGTCTTATTTATGGAAATATTTTAGTAAAAATGTAATCAGACAAGTTGAAATTCGCTTAGTCTGCAGGTTTGCTGCGGCGGGGGTATTTTAGTGTGGCCTTGGTTTTTCTAAAGTTTATATGATGAGTAAAAGTGTAAAAATGTGAAATTTCTACGAATAATAAACAGTCTTTTATTGCAAGTATTCTTCTAACCTAAACTTATAAAAAAGTTCTTCCCAAAATTATTGGTAAAAAATTCACAAAAACGGTTATGTTATGTTATTGGTTTGTGGTGGGGGGGGGTGGGGGGAATCCTAAGTGGCGCTGATTCGGGTGTTCGCTTAACTCTGAAAAATTCCTAGAACCGGCCCTGAATTTGGTGTTTGAGATAGAGAACTAACAGCAGGATATTTTTTTCAGTGGCTAAATTGAACTAGCTTCTTTTCTATCCTCAATCTGGCTCCAGCGTTAACCGAGGAATGCCTACTTTACTTAATCTAGTCAAAGATTACTTTATTCCCTGAATAGTAGGTACCAACAAAAATCTGGAATCTAAATTAATGACAAACTTCTTAGGAAGGAGGTACTCTAGATATTCAACAGGGAACAATGATAAGAGAATAATCTCCTTAAATAATTCAGAAGATTGTAATTCTTTGCTATAAAAAATTTGCATTATCTCCTTATTTCCAGCCCTTGTTGGCAATTGCTAGTATTATCCTGATCGAATTGAATTCAATTAAAACATTGTGTCATGGTGATAACAATAAAACTACCTCCCACAAAATGTTACCTTTAAATGTGTTCTGTGGAACTTCATTATTTTGCAACAGTTTCTGCTGTCGATAGCTGTAGTCCATGCCAGTACAGCTCAATGTGAATTGTTTCGAGTGAAGTTTATCTTTTCCTGCAAACATTTAACGTTGGGGAAAAAATGCATCAACATAATAAAACTAAAACAGTTTTAAGTTTCATAACTGTTAACCCTGTATCCTCTCCTCTTAAATAAAAGTAAACATTTTGGAATTAATAATGCACAGTGGGTGGTTTTAATATTTTAAATTGCATTTCTTAAGTAATATTTTTATACATTTAGCCTTTTCTCTACTTGGTTAATAGCTGTGTTAATTGTAACAGTTGCCTACACTAATTTGTTGTTTCATTATTTGGAAGTTTGTTAAGTTCAATAAATTAAAATGTTGATGACAGTTCAAAAATTTTTAAATTGATTGTACAGTGTCTTTTTTATCCAATGGATATTTTGTTAGCCATAAAGTATTCTCTCCAAAACACAAGTCCAACTGAAAATAGAAGACCAAAAGTAGTAAAAAAATTTTGTAATTAAAAAAATCTTAGTATGAAAATTTTTTTGAGTCTATGGAATTTAAATGAAAATGGATATCCAATATTTTCCCCATTTATAATTTTTACTTACCTATCAGTGTGCTGAAGACACCAACAATTTGGATGATACCTAAAACAAAACACTTGTATAATCATATTTTGAAATACTTTAGTTGCAAAGTTATTGATTTAAAAAGCATATTTTTTGCCAAATATTTTTATGGGGACGCACAGAAGTTTTTTAAGGCGTTATAAATGTTGGTTTTATAACAATTTTTTAGACAAAATATTTCTTTAGCTATAAAGCTTTGAATTGCTTGTATTTAGTCAGTTTGTCAAATAAAGTAAAATTTAATCATGATACAAATGGTTTCAGTTCATAATATTCCTTTTTCACTATGTTACCCACCGTTAAACATAATTATGGATACCGGTAGTTTAACAACTGCATTTAAGATTTTAATAACAGATTAGTACATAAAAAACATTTCATCTCAAATATAATATTTAGTTAACATCTAATCCAAACATAAAATTAATTATAACAACAATTTACAGTTTCTCAACGTGATACCAATAAGTACTAGGTAAAACAATATTTATGTTCAGTAATTAAATTTTAGTTTCTGAACATTTGAGGCAAATTTTTACAACACGTTATCAAGCTTTGTAAGACTCCAGTAGATAGATGACATTTAAAATGGTTTTAACATATAGTTATAACTACAGGTTAATATATTCTAACACTAACCTACAAACACATCTACCAGCTTCATGTTGAATACACCTCAGACTCCTTTCACCAAGTTCACAGTTATCTCAAACAAAACAAACAAAGTTTCTTATCATCAAGTTCATTGTCCCTGATAATGACTGTCAAATTTTAGTCAAGTAATTATATTTTGCATTTGAAATTTAACAGTACTTAAAATGTGTGTAGTTTTGAGTTACGTGTATTGACAGAGTAAAAAATATTAACGGTAAATAGGAAAAACATTACAGACTAATCAGAAATCATAGATAGATAACTTGTTTCTCTCAAATCATTTTACACACACATAAAATATTTCAAGTAATACGTTGCAATTTTTCCTTTTTTATACAAAATTAAAGCATTTTTGATTTCAATATGTCATTATTTTCATAATGTATGACTATGTTTAACAAATCATCACACAGTGTATGTTCTGTTTTGATTGAGCTTTCTTCTGATAAATACATTGCCATATCCGAGAAAACTTTCAGAATAAAGATATTTAGAAAAATTTTTCTTCTATGCACATACCTATTCCATACAAGACCTATTTTTTAAATTTATTATATTTTTAAGTACTACTAAAACTGTTATTTAAACGCATGTAAAAACAACTTAATGAGTTAAAAAACAAAAACAAAATATAGCTACAAACAGCGAATATGAAAACATGTGAAGTGCAAAATAGTATTTATTTATAATTTTAATATTATACTAAGGCTGGAGTTAGGAAGGCTTGGTCATTTTAGGTGAGGAGAGACTGCTCGCTATCCCATCACCGAGCTGTGGTTGAACGTCTCGCTCCTTCTGTCTACTTCTCGCCAAACTCTCGGCATTGGACACTCGTCTAGACGGTCGAGGCTGTAGCCCACTTTTAGCTACCGCACTGTCGTCTGATAAGAACCCTGCAACACATTAGTCGACAAAATAAAGTACCATATCAAGGTTGACAGCTAAAACCTTGCTAATTCAACAATCTGTGGAACCAGAGGTTGTCGAGTTATCCACAACATTGAAATTTGTAATGGGTTTTAATACACGGATAGATAGCTTACTAATTTCCCCATACTTACAAAAGTATTTTTCCTACAGTCACCCAACAAAGTTGGCTTCCTTGTACTGTTTATAGTACAGAAAGCTGCTAATTGCTGCATATTTATACTTTGCCGTACGGTTTATACTTTGTCGTACGGTTTATACTTTGCCGCACATCAGGATTCCAACGAAACAACACAAAACAGCGTGGTTCTATTATGCACGTAATCCGTGTACGCTTGGAAATAGGTTGGCAACACTTAAAGATAATAATACTATGAGCAGCTGATTGACTATTATAACTACGATTTAACCCGTCATTTCGTGTTTATAGTTTCGGCATTTCTGAACTTACTGGACTTTTCTTTTAAACGTGTTTAAAACATTCCTACGATCTTAATAAACAAGAAAATACCTTTAAAGCATTTTTTTTAGGCGCGGAAACCACTTCAAATTACAAAAACATACGGAACTATATTCTCAAAACGCGGAGCACATTTCTTACCGAGGAAAAATAGCGGAGTGATACGGACCGCGGGTACTACTTTCTCTAGGGCACCATTTGTGTTGCCAGTTGAACCTAAAAACGTGTTGTATAGTGTTTGAAAGACTAATTATTTATATGCTTTACAGTGACTGTAGGAAAAATATAATGTGTAACACGAGTGAAAAGGCCTTTGCTGCACTCGAGATCATTCCGCACTCCCCTGCGGCTCGTGCGTAAACATTGCTCTCGTGTGCAGCAAAGTGCCACTTTCACCACTAGTTACACAAATAACTATTACATATTGAGTCAAAAGGTTCTGATGATTCTATAAAAACAAGAAGTCTAGCCATTTATTGATCATATAAAGTAGAGCGTAATACATAGATCTGATCAAGAATGCGTTCAGTTTTAGAGTACAGTTTATTTTAAAACTAGTGCTCGAACGCAGCAATATTGGCATAAATAGGTACATAAATATGTAGGGCCTACGGCACTAATCACATGTGTTATAATTCCGGCACATAACTTTTTACAAATCGAGCTCTGCTTAAAAAAACATTCTTTGGAGAAGACATTACCTGGTGAATGTACAGGCACTTGCATCAAAGAGAGGGTTAAACTCTTAGCTCGAGGGATCGCTTCTTTCCTGACACTGGCCGACACGGACTGTCTCAGTGCTGGAGGCAAATGTTCAGCTATACCTGTACGATAACAATCACAAACACAATACAAGCGACACGCAAATCATGTAAAGGCTTGCTACATTTGCTGATTATATTAAAACTGGTATTCAACTTTTTCTGTTAGCTTAACGCCATGGTCAAATGCTAGTCATGCAAAAGAGGTTAATATTTTTAGATGTTCAAAACCATCCTTTTAATCCAAAATCACATTTAACATTCATAGTCTGTCAAGTACTTGCGATTATCCTTCCATTCTGAGGTAATAACTGAGGTAAGAACTTTAAATATTTTAATTAAGAAAAAATAAATTCCATTTGACGGTCTGAAAAAGCAAGCAACACAGTGTAGCTACGAATATAATTTTAAAATGTTTCATAAACACTTTTTGATTTAACTAAAACCTTTACAATACACCATACAAATCGATATAAGATGTCAAAACAAAGAAATTTAGACCATTTGTACCCTGGTCTCCATAAGGTCCAATCAGGAGTCGTTTATTGTTTGTACAAAAGCGCCAATCAACATATAAAATATGCTAATCAAAGTGTAATTTCATACAAAAATATTATCCCATTATTAAAACGTTATCTGTTGAAATAAGACTAACAGTAGCAGGCTTGATGACACAGAAATGTTGCTGATTATAAAACTAATCATATTCAAGCCAAAACTCACTAGCAATGTCATCACTGAAAGGTGTCTGGTCCTGGTTGACTTTGGATAATTTCTCCTTTCTTTCTTCTTTCACCGATTCAAACCGATGAATGAATGATCTTGTGATGTCATTGATGTCTTTATCATCCAGACTAACTATAAAGAAATCTTTATATAGTAGTAACTTACATATACTTGTAATATAAATATGTATTACTCCTTGATCAGTTTTTGTCAATTTCAGAACACAGGCTGCTACTGTGTTTTCTAAAGTGCAAAATACCACTGGCCGTATGTACAAATGTGTTTTGGTTATTTAAACAAATTTTAAAATAATTTTAGCCAAATGAAACAATATATTCACAAATGACTGATGAACTGGTATTGCATTATTATTTGAACAGAGGGAGTCCTCGAATGCTGTTCCTCCTCAAACTGAACCCTCCACATAAAAAAAAAAAAAAAAAAAAAAAAAAAAAACACATACACACACAGCAAACAAACAACAACAAACACATTCAAAAGCATTCAGTTCAATCTGAAAAATCTAACATTGGATTTTAACTAAGAGTTTCTATCCTAAAACTATTTATTGTTTCAAAAACATCTATAACATTTTCTTAGAGAAGAAAGCTTAAATTTAACAAATTAGCAAATACAATGTTTCTTACCAAGACAATTTGTGCTTGCTATAATCTTGTCTCTGTATTTGGGAATCCTTACGATTTCATTACCACGGAAGTCTATATTTAAGATTCTCGGCCACTGGCAAATGACCGAGCAGACGGCTGGTAAGTCCCTCAGCAAGTTGTTGCTTGCATTTAGTTTTTCAATGGCCTTCAACTCTTTTAGATCACTTATTGATGAAATATTGTTACCCGAGATGTCTAGTATCCGTAG